TTTGAACTATTGGTGGGGTGGGAATGTTACCATAACTTTGTATATGTGATTTTCGTGCCTCACTTGACAATATCCATCGATTCGAGGAGAGGAATCTTACATACCTAATACTGACAATGAAAGACCCCGATAAAGGGCAGAGGCTCCTTCCTGGTGGTAGATCATGTACAAAGCATGAAGGATGCCTTTGTAGGGCGGCTCCAGTCGGTTCTGCACAATCAACCGCGTCTTGACCACTTCCGTTGGGTAGGTTGCAATGGCCGCCATCATTCCCGCCAGGCTGCCGGCCACGATGGCGTTCCACTGGGAAATGTGGCCGAGATCATCCATCAGCAACATCACACATCTAAGGCGAGACAAACGGAGCGGAGAGAACGAAAATAATTGTATTTTTTGTTGGGGGGGTGGAGTTTTCATACAACAGGAGTTTCAGCTGGGATCCATCTTAAGATTAGGGTCAACCACATCTCATCCGACAACACTGTTTGGCTGAGCATCCTGTAGAACAGAATTCAATTGGGGGGGAGGGGGTGTTTCTCGCCACATACGTGCATACATAACATCCATGTATACATGTATAAATGTACATCTATACATATGTGTATGGGTTGTTTCTCTTATATATGTGGGTATGTGCATAGTTTTTCTTTCTCTCTCTCTAGATATCTATCACCTATCTCTCTTTCTAGATATCTATCATCTCTCTGGATATCTATCATCTATTTATCTCTCTATATATTTATCTCTCTATTCATATATCTCTTTATCAAGATATCTATCAGCTCTCTCTCTCTCTCTCTCTCTCTCTCTCTCTCTCGATATCTATCACCTCTCTCTCTCTCTCATCTCTGTCTCTCTCTATATATTTCTCTCTCTCTATTCATACATATTGTTAGGTGTAGAGTTGTAATTGCAGGAAAGTCATTATCTTGATGGCAAACCTCAGATAAGGACAAAGCAAATACAACTCAGACAAACAAAATCACTAATGCAAAGAAGGATTAGAGAGAGGAAGTAAACATATGTTAGACTTTAACTAGAGATAATTAATTGTGTTAATTACTATGTTAAACAGTAACGAAAGCTGAGCAGAAACTAAAGTTAACCAATGTTAAGAGGATTACTAAAAATGTGTATAAATGCAAGACTAGACTCCAATAAAGTCATCATGATTCATTTGATCATGATCAAACACCTCGACTGCCTCGTCATTACAAGAGTTAGGAATGTAAGTCACCTAACAGTTGGGTTGGAAAATATATAAACCAGGATAGACATTTTAATACTGTCTCTTTAAGGGAATGCTAAAATTGTAATTGGGTGTGGTTCCTCAAACGGCCATAAGATGGAGCTAGAAACCTGTTCTGGAGAGTGTTGCCATTGCTGCATTTCCCTATTGATTGTTGCTGATCATAGTTCTTCTTGGGTTTGATGTAAGTTTGTTACGGAACTGTTCTTGATACTGGACTTTGTTATTGGATTACCCTGGACTGAAAACTGACTGCTTTAACCGTGAATGACTTGGACTGTGTTTGGACTTTGCTTAACCATTTACTGGAAGTAAAAACCTACATTTGACTATACAGTGTAGCTGTGTGCTGTGTTGTGTGTTATTCTCCACCACTCTCACTACGTCTCCCTGTGTGCGTTCATTCTCCTAACGGGGAATTACCTCAACGCATATCTCTCTCTTTATCGAGATATCTATCACCTCTCTCTCTCTCTCTCTCTCTTTATCTCTCTGTCTCTAGATATCTATCACCTATCTCTCTCTCTATCATCTATCATCTCTCTCTATATATATATATTTCTCTCTCTATTCATACATATCTCTCTCTTTATCAAGATATCTATCACCTATCTCTCTCTCTATTTATCTCTGTCTCTAGATATCTATCACCCATCTCTCTCTCTATATATATATTTCTCTATTCATACATATCTCTCTCTTTATCAAGATATCTACCACTTATCTATTTATCTCTCTCTCCCTCCCTCCCTATCCAACCCCCCCTCTCCCTCTCCCTCTCTCTTCTGCCATGGTTATGCAGTGGATATAGGAGGCGGTGACCCTTTGAGAGCTGTGTGAAATTTCATTTTAAGGTACCCCGATTAGAAGACCTTCTGAGTGACAATAACATTATTTTGAGTGTAAAGAAGAGGGGAAACCCTAATCCATTCAAACCCACCAACAAAGCTGGAAGACACCGGGAACCCCTCCACACACACACACACACCCCATCCCGGGCACTCGCCCCGTTTCTCTTAACTCCTACAAGTTTCTTCTCCTTCTGCTTCCCAAACGGGTCCAGCGGGTCCAACCTCTCAGTCCAGTTTTCGGGCTCAGGGCGGCTGCTCCGCTTGCCCGACCCGGTCGGGCAGGGGGCTGGACTAGAAGACCTCCCAGGTCCCTTCCAGCTGTAATCGGATCGGATTGGCGACGCGCCCCGATCGCCGCTTGGTCCCCCTTCCCTCCCTCCTTCTCTCCCTCCCCGCTTACCGGCGGTAGGAGGCGAGCTGCACGGCGCTGTAAGGCAGGAGGCGCAAGCAGGCGGTCAGGTTGCCTTTCCAGAGCGCGCCGGCGCCCTCGGCTCGCCAGAGGCTGCTCCCCGCTCGCCAGAGGCCGCCGGTTCTCCGCCCGGGCAGCGCCCCGACCTGGCCAAGTACGGTGAGCACTTCCAGCGGGGCCGTCAAGCTGTGGCTCGCCGCCCCGGCCAGCCCGGCGCAAGCCAGCCGCTGCAGCGCCGTCAGCCGCCCGTCGCGCTTCCAAGTGGCCATGGCGCACCATGCCAGCCCGCCTGCCCGGGAACCGGGGAGGAAAGGAGGGAGGCTCAGGCGACGCCGCCCGGCTCCGCGATCGTCCGCCGGGGCAGGGCGGCCGGGGTGGGGCGGCGCCAGCCAGCCTACCGAGCAGGCAGGCGGGCGGGCCGGAGACAGGAAGGGGAAGGGCCCGGGGGAAGCGGGCCGGCCCGGTGCGCAAGAGCGCGCGAGCGGGAACGCAGGGAAGCCGCTTGCAGCCGCACCAGGGAACCCCGATCGCGCAGCAGAAGCGGATCGCGGGGACGGGATGCTGGCCCGGCTGGGTAGGCGGCGTCCCGGGAAGACGGTGGATCTCTAGGCCGGCCGCCTTTGGGCTTCTCGGAGAGGCGGTGAGGCGCCGTGCGGGTGACGGGGAGGAGAATCTTTGTAGTTCGGGGTTGAGGTTGTGTGTGTGTGTGTGGAGATCCTTGGTGCTCTCGGAGCTGGGTGGTTTTTCTTGCGGACGTTTCAGGACCTAACCAGGTAACGTCATCAGTGCTGGAAGAAAGTGGGGTGCGAGGAGAGGAGGAGGATTGTGGGGGTCTTAGTGCTCTCTGAGGTTGTTTTCTTGCAGACATTTCATGACCCAACTAGGTAACACCATCCGCCCTAGGAAGGAGTGGGGTGTGCGTGGAGAGGAGGAAGAGGATTGCAAACTCCTTGGTGCTCTCTGAGCTTGGTGGTTTCCTTGCAGACGTTTCATCACCCAAACCAGGTCATTTCATCAATGCTGGTCAGCACTAGCTCATCACACTGATGATGGTACCTAGTTGGGCCATGAAATGTCTGCAAGAAAACCAAGCTCAGAGAGCACCAAGGGGAAGGAAGGAAGGAAGGAAGGAGGAGGGAGGGAGGGAGGGAGGATCACTGATAATGTTACCTAGTTGGGCCATGAAACGTCTGCAAGAAAACCAAGCTCAGAGAGGACCAAGAAACCCTCAAGGGGGAGAGCGCTGGGCTTGGCTGGTGGAGATGCAGTGGGGCGATGGCAGCCTATCTTGGTTTGTGGGGGACTGTCCTCCTTTTCTTGGCCCAGCTTATCTGCCAAGGGTTTCCTTCGTGTGTGTGTGTGTGTGTGTGTGTGTGTGTGTGTGTGTGTGTGTGTGTGTGTGTGT